ATCTGTATTTGTATAATTATAAGTGTATAAGAAGAAAATATATGCATTTGTATATACATTTTTCTCTCACTTTATACAAACACAAACGCATTTTATACATTTTATATCGAAATGTATAAAATGACTAATTGTATTACGAAAATGGCTAATTGTATATCGAATCAGATGGCAAAAAAAAAAAAGTTTGCTGCAAATTACAATTAAAATAAACTATGACTATAACATTTAATTTGAATTAATAGTTTGTTGTTTCATACAATTCTGCCTAAATAAAACCCGATCCACCCAAGTTGAAAACCCGTTAACCCTAAGCCGATAGAACCCTAGATTTGTAATGACCCGGTCGGTCATTTTTTGTTTCTCCATAGAAATTACCGTTTTGCCCCTCCCGATGTCGACCCTCAAGTCGTTTTTGATTGAGTTTGAAAAGTTTGTTTTAAACTTTGAGTTAAAAGTTGAGATTTGATAAATTTTGAGTTTGAAAGGCTAAGTTGTTAAGAAAGTGATTTTTAGTGTCATTTGGAGTTTCGAGTGTCGGAATATATTATTGTTTGGGATAAACATGCAACTCACATTCCCAGAGACTAGTTATATAAATAAACCTAGAAAAGTAAAACAAATGAGATGGTTTGGTCATGTTCTTGTTGATTTTAGATGCACCGACTTATACGTGTGAAACCATGGTGAGTACATGTATTTAAAGGAAGTGAGGTACATAGACCTAAAATCACGTGGAAGGAAGTTGTATTAAAAGATCCAAATGCTTTCTCATCCTGTACCCAGCCTATGGTTGAGGGAGAGCTAGTACCAAAACTTACATATGCTGCAAAAAATCATATCTAAAATGCCTAAACATAACTGAAATAGATCCAATATGTACATGGAGAGCCAACCCTACGGAGTTAGACGAGTTTGCTACTGAAGAGGGACTTTACCAAGCCATTGTGATGAAGTTCTCATATGGTGCACCAGAAATCCAAGAGTTGCGAAGCATTCTTACAAAACAAATTGCTATCGAAGGTCAATGTTTGATTGGGTTACTTTGATACATGGCATAGTTTATTTCGTTGTGACCAAATATGAGGATTTTGTACCAATTTTATCGCATCAATCTGGTTATATTCAGTTTAATAGTGATGATTATTTGTATTGTACTAATTGTATTAGTTTGATCTGTTAAATTAGCACCCTAAACGAATTAAACTCCAATATTTGGATGAAAAATTCAGTAAGATTTTGGACCACTTTCAGGGGATTTTTTATGATAATTTTCCTCTGTAATGTACTAATTGCAAGCATTAAGGTCATGCCCAACTAATTGTCGTCGTCTAATATTGGAAAATAACATAGTCCATGATCAAGAAGTGGGTGTAAGAGAAGAAGAAAGTGTGTGTGATATTGAGAAATATAATGGTGACGCAAGGGAAATTTCGAATGAGAAGAGGGGACTAAAAAAAGTTATTCAAAGAGCCGATGATAAAAATCCAAGTATGTGCACCAAAAAATGATGTATTGGAAATAATTGAATCATCAAAATCTGATGATGCAATGCACAATAATTCCAATCCTATTTTGGTTCAAAATAATCCTCAAGCTCAAGAAGACTTGAATTATTGTTTGTTGGAGGAAAAAACATCTGATAAAGATACACAAGGTGTTGTTGAGGTCCAAAATAATCCATTTTATATCAAAACAACTGTTGGAAATTAAGTTGTTCCTACAGACGACGTTCAAATAGGTATTACTACTGTTGAATTTGATCCTAATGGCAAGGAGAAATCTTTAGTTTCTATGGATATGAATATGAATTTGGTAAGGCTTTGGGGGAGTGGTGTAACACCCTAGAAAATGGTAGGTTAACCTAGAGCCTAAGCGTGAGGTTTTGAGTAACTTTCCAGAGACGTTTAGACTAAACTTGGATAAAAAAGGGAAGAGGTTAGCATCTAGGATGAAGTCAAGGACCTTAAACTACCTAAGAAAAATGAAGGAAAATAATACCTACCTTTGGTCTATTCGGCGATGGGCAGTAGCATTGCCCATGCGCCTTGGCGATGAGCCAAATGGGCTCTCCTCACCTAGTGGACAGCCTTTAGTTGTCCTAGGTTCTGGAAAATTGGGTGAGAGAGGTCATGGGTCGCCAATGGGGTTGGCGATTCACCCATTGACCCTCCCCATCGCCTAGTGAGCTGCCCATTTAGGGAGCTTACTGGAATTTTGGGCGAGCTAAGGGCTCATTAGGCGAATCGCCTAGTGCCCTTGGCGAGCCAAAGGTGCCAAAGGGCGAGCTCCAGCGTGGGGAAGGTAAGTTTTTGAAGTTTGAGTAAGGGTGTTTTAGTAATCTCTCCAAAACTTGAACCAACACTTTCCACTCTTTTCCTAACAAATATATATTTACTTTTTAAAGTCAAAATTCTTCCTTTTTAGATACTCCCTATTAATAAAAGAAGAAACCCAAGAACATCATCCTTCTCTCAATATTTCTCTCTCTAGAAGTTCCTCCATTGAAGAACACCAAGAACTTGAAGATTAGGGCTCAAGAATCCATCTTCTCAACTCCAATTCGTGGGCAAAGCTTCAATTAAGGTATGGGAACTTTGATTCATGGAACACTTTTCTCCATAAAGCCCTTCAACTCTTGATTTCGAAATTGGTAACTTGTTCAAAAACTAGGGTTTTCATTCCAACCATGGGTTCTTCCTAAAAACGATTTTATTATGTTAATTGCCTTATATTATGGATGATTTGAGATTTTCATTGTAAAATTTCCTATGAACCCATGAACTACCCCATGACCCCAATTTCATGAATTGTGATAGGTGTATTGATGCAAGATGATTACTATGAATTGCATCTATGTTAATATAGTTATTGAATCTTGTTTTATTCATGCTTAAAGTAGTATTTCTAAGTATGATTGTGAGACATGATTCATTACCCTTGAAAGGGTAAATTGCTAGGGTTTGTACATATTGTTGAAGGTGATGTGTGTGAACTTACGATTCACTTGAAAGGTAAAGATCCTATGACTATTGTGTATATTGAGGTATTTTTGAAAGGTTATTCTCCCCTTACCCTTACACATGTTCATGAATGACTTGTCTAGGATGATGATGATGTTGTTGTGTTGATTGAAAGGCTATGTTCTCATGAAAACACTATGAACAATAATGTGCAAGGTTTACTCACATGTTAATGATGTTTCTAAGGTTGAAAGTTAGTTCTCACTTTATTGAATCTATGAGCTATTTTATGAGTTGTATTGAATGAAGGGTAGAACACTCATTCACACATGTAAATACAATTTAATGACTAATTATGTATATTTTGGGAGATAAATGCTTAGTACCGAGTGGATATGGACAATGAGGTAAAGACCCTTCCGCCAATGCAATAGGTTGGGTCATCCAAAGTGAACTCATGAGATGGAAGCCCCTCCGCCAATGCAATAGGGTGGGTTTTTAGAAGCAATCTCCCTATCCCATAACTATGTGCCAACATAGGACTTAGCTAGTGGATCCACCTAGAAGCTAACACATTTAGTCTTACCTTAGGCTGATGGGTTTTTAGAAGCAATCTCCCTATCCCATAACTATGTGCCAACATAGGACTTAGCTAGTGGATCCACCTAGAAGCTAACACATTTAGTCTTACCTTAGGCAAGTAGGACACCTTCTTTTGGTGTGGGGTTACATGACACCGGATTACATGTAGCTCACATGGTCTATGTTGGTTATGACTATTCTTCCCTAAATAAAAGATAATGAATGAGACATGAACTATACTATGACTTCTTGGTGAATTTACTTAGTAGGATTCGGGGTATGGGACTTCACTTTCACATTGCACAAGTGGACTTAGTAGGATGTTGTGGGATGGTTCCTTTATATTGTGATAAGATACTAATGCATACATGTGTCTTGAATGGTTAGTTGTTATGAATGACTTTCCTTGTATTCAAAGTAATGTTCATGACTATTTCCTTATGGGTGATTAATGATTATAATGAGGTCTAAAGATGATATGCATGACCAAAGGAGCTTCAAGGGGGTACTTAGTAGGGTTGGTATTATGGGATGCCAACCATACATTGCACAAGTGTTCCTTAGGGGTTGCTAAGGTGTTGACATTACTATATTGTGATTATAAATGTGATTATGCTTGTCTTTGACATTGAAAAATGCATGTTGGTTTCCAAACTTGATAAATGCATACTTTTCACTAAAAATGTCCTTTTTATCATATTTAAAGGATTTTATGCATGTTTCCATACTTAGTACATATTATGTGCTAACCCCTTCCTCCTTCTACATCTTAATGAATGTAGGTTCCGGCTAGGTGTCTTTCACTCTCCTTTGAAGAAGACTTGGATTGCTTATCTCCAAGTTGGGGTGAGTCCTCAAGTTCGAGGACAGGATTTCCTAATTCTTAGTTTCATTTTGTATCTCGTATATTGAGACGTTTATTGATGTAAAGGCCTAAGTCCCAAAACTTTGTATTCCTATGTTTTAGATGGTAGATGAGACAAAGTCTAGATTTCATATTACTATCTTTTATGAAAAGTGAAGTTGGACTTCGATTGTAAAGTTTTAAATTTTTCCGCATTATTTCTATGTCTTATGTAATGATGATGCTAGAGGTTTGTATGAGACCCCTTCAGGGTCAAGTACACCGTGTTACGTCTAGGGGGTACTCATGGGTCGTGACAAGTGGGGGGGGTGTCGGGTGTGCATCGAAAGAAAAGGGGCATGTCTCAACTTTAGCAACTATTGAGACATAACAATATATCGGTGGTCGTTGAGGATAATCAAAATGTGGCAAAAATTGGTTACAAGTGAAAAGACTGCAGTCATACTCCGACAAATAGTTTGATGACTTCTAATGGGCAAAAATGTGTTACAAGTGAGAGACAATGGGCGAATATGGTAGAAGAAGAGGATGAGCATGCCACACCTCAAAAAATTTATGTTAGTGACAAGGATGTTATTGATGCATTGGTGAGTTCTAATGTTGAAAAGTTAATTTCCCTTACACATATTAACACTAACAAACAACTACTAGTTGGTGGTAATAGTATTTTCTCCCCAAAACGATATGCTAACCTACAAGATGAGGACATTTTTGAGGAAGGTGAAAGAGAGGATTGGTTGGTGTTGTGCCCAAACGCACACGCAAGGGTACGTGGCCGTGCAAGTATTAAAATAGCTCTTTTTAAGAGCCGGGTATCATATCCACAGAGACTTAAGATTAGAGTATTCAATTCTTCCAACAATTAAAATTTAGAACAAGTGCTATCAAGATAGTGATCTAGGATTTTGAAAGATTAATTATCTAATTATTGAAGTAAACTACTTTGATTCGATTTCAATTGAATTTTAAACAATGACTTGGGGAATTCTAGGGCTGCAGCCTGCAAAGGATTCATGCAAATTATCTTATTTATTTAATGGATATCAATCAATTATCGAATCACTGATTACAAGGGTATATGTATGATCATGGTCTCCCGACCTCTAATCGCCTATGGTAATTGACAGTCTAACTACATCATTGAGTGGGGATAGATTGAACCAACTACCGAGCATTACGATTTTGTCCTGTCTATTAACCAAGTAAGGTTTCTAGATATATACCTATCCTAGATACAAATTAACCTTAAACATAGAGAAGATCATGTTCCTTTTACCCCACGTTTTATCCTCTTATTCCTCTCCCGAGTTCAATTCAAACAAGATATTTATTTCAATGGTGGTCAGTCACGGAATATTGAAGTAAGGACAAAAGAGAGATTCATATGATAATCAAAATCAATCCATTAAAATCAATAAAATACAATCATCATGCATGTAGCCACATCCTTAAACTAGGAAATTTAGCTACTCATAATACGATTCTCAATTTTGTAATGTTAAATTAACATAAAAGAGATCGAACGGAGTAAAGTTTAGGAATAAACCCTAAGAACAGATGAAACAACTCCCAAATTCGTCGTTCTTTCAAAAACCCAGACAAAGAATGATAATAAAATAAAATCTGAGTCTATTTATAATTTAGGAAAAACGGTAGAAAACTGGAGCCCAGGTCCGCGACATGGAGATGCCTTTTTGTTTCAGCTTCAAATGCATTCTTGCTCATACAAACTCTTCTGTCTCAACTTGACAATGTGTACAAAATAATTAAATTCTCTCTCCGAGACGCGGAGAGGGTGCACTTCAGCATATTTCACTTCATAATGGTTTCCACTTTTATTTGGCACCTTTTTACTTATGCTCTCACGCTTGGACCAACTCTTCACTTCACGATTTCCACTTTTGTGCTTGTTTTATCCTTGTTTCCCAACCTACAATGATTGATCACAATGGTTAGTCCAAATGAAATATATGACTCAAATACTATTAAAAACTAATGAATTCATCCCTAAACTCGACCAAAGCATGGGTGTTATTTGGTTCCTAGGCATGCAAATACGCCCAAAATCAATTGGATTACTATTTTGCAAGGGATGCAGATATTTCTCCTAGGCAAAAACATAATAACAAAAAAACCATGTAATAAAGAATAGTTGGAATGACAAGGTGATTGGGGAGTTTGTCCCAAGGCAAATACCGGCATGATTGGCAATGCAGAATCATATGATAGTGTCAACAGATTTAACTAGATCCAATAATTCCAAGAAGAAGTAATGAACAATAAAGTTTGAAGGACAATAGAAGATTAAGAATAAGGAGAAGGAGAAGAAGAAGGAGAAGGAGAAGGAGAAGGAGAAGGAGAAGGAGAAGGAGAGGGAGAAATAGAAGGACAGAAGAAGGAGAAGGAGAAGGAGGAGGAGGAGGAGGAGGAGGAGGAGGAGGAGGAGGAGGAGGAGGAGGAGGAGGAGGAGGAGGAGGAGGAGGAGGAGGAGGAGGAGGAGGAGGAGGAGGAGAAGGAGAAGGAGAAGATGAAGAAGAAGAAGAAGAAGAAGAAGTAGTTCATGTTACTTTAGATGGACAATCAATCTTTTTTAATTCATTCATTTGTAAAAGGAAGCTTGAGGTAGATAACTCAACATTCTTCTTGGTTGTTATATTTTTTTCATTATTTAAGCATCCTCATTTGTAAATCATCATAGAGTGTATTACAAACTCTTTGGTGATAAAAAAAACATAGTT